AGGGGGGCGGAAGGAAACAGCGAGGGAAGAGAGCTAACGAGAAGAGGCCGACCGTGTCCCACGGCATGTTGCGGATTGAAGCTGACTAGTATTTTTATTTTGTTATTTTCTCTCCCCCCCCCCCCCCCCCTTGCCGTTCGCGTTTAGACTGTCTTCGTGGATATTCTGGCCGCTGTGCGAGTTGGTGTTCTGGTCTTTTGTTTTATTTTATTTTGTTTTATTTTTTAGACATTTTAATTTGCTTTGATTTTACCTCACATACATAGCGTGTAGAGGGGAGCGGAGGGCTAAAAAAATATTTTTGCTTCTGATGGTATTTTTCTCTTGTATTTTACCGCTCTGCTGACCCTTGGGGTCCATTTCATTTTGGTATGCCTTTTCTAGGTATGTTAACCTGTGACCACGGAAATTGACCGAGTCAAGTGTTGGATTAGTACGGAGAGATTCAGACATAAAGAGGTCCCGGATAGAGAGACCGGGATGTTTTTTTTTTATGTGAAGAAAACAACAACAACAACATTCGTGTTGACTTGGAGGTTTTTGGTAGCAGCGTGTGATGCGCATTCGCGATGAGAATATCACGTGAGGCTTAGGAGATCTAAGGGCTCAGTGGTTGGGCTTTCGTGGTGATGTCTTGTGCGGGTGTGTGGGGAACAGGTGCTACATCTTCGATTGTGCCCAAATCGTTGCGAGCTTGCTTTTATGTGCAACAGCAGGGGGGCGGGCTGTTTGCATATTTTTGTTTTTTTATTTGATTCTTCACCAACGGCAGAAACTTCTCCAACGGTAGAAACACGGGCGTCGTGTAGGCGAGTGCGCTCCCTATCGTTTAGTGGATGTCGGATAGTTTATTTGGAGGAAAGATCCGACGTGTCGCAGTGACTGTACTCGTGGTTGGTGCCCTTATATTGAGAGGTTTGTGTTGCTTGTATTTTGGGACATTGAAAGAACACCGTGTGTCATGCGATCTGCGGTTAAAGTCAGTGAGGCTCAGAATGGAGGTGCATGAGATCATTGACTGGCTGTCGCAGATTGTGTGTTATCATTATGTTCACAAGCAAGGGCGGTTTCTTTTGTGTTGGCGTACTGCATACAAGTATCATATGCCATGCCCCTTGTAGCAGTACAATCTTTTCATGTTTTGCGTTGACAAGGTGTTGAATTGCCTTAGGATAACGGCAGATGTCTGCACTGTATATTGTCTGTTCCCGTTTTCTAGTGGCTTTATCTAAATCCCACGGAGCGGGGGGGGCGATGGAATGAGAATTATTGATGCAAATGCAACGACAGTTGCAAGCGTCATTTTTGTGTTGGGTTTTTGGACGTTATTCTGTCTTTGCAGTCCTGGGTATTTCTGGATGTTGTATTGAAGGAAGGATTTGGTATGTGCTGATTAGTAATTGGTTGGGGCCTATGTGCTTTCCGAATAATGATTATGTGCTGACCAAGAGGTTGAAAGGTACGGTGTTGTTTGAGGTTGTTGATTCTGATTTGATCACGCGTTTCCGGTATTGTTTGTTGTTCTGCAAGACGCAATGCTGATGTAATGTTGAATCTTGTTGGATAGTTTTCCAAGAATATTTCTGGTTTTTTGACGGATTGAGTTTTCTCAAGGGGGTAAGGTAAGTAGGCTCTTGGCGTATGAGGTATATCTTTGATAGTATATTTTTGTATGTTTCAAGTTGCCGTTCCTGGAACGGTACATGCATGTAATTCGCTTGGACGACAGTACCTTTATCCAAGCAGGGGGCTGTTTGTGGTACTTGGGTGAAGATACTGGTCTGGATGGATTTCGGGGATACGCAGTTGGGGTAGTGGTATGACCATCTGGTGTTGCGGAGACCCTTTCACCCTCGCAGAGACCACAACAAAATAACACAAGAGCAAAAATAAATTCAAGGGGCCCCTTCGGAGATTGTCGGCAGCGTGCTAAGCATTAGCCCTAGCGCCAGCCCACAAGCAAAACTTTCATCAAAGGACACGCAGTCAACCCTATGTTCATATGACGTCACTTGCGTAAAGGTGGCGAAAGTCACGCACGTGATATGTACCGTGCACTGACCATGCACTTTAATGAAAGCGACGAAATCGTTCGTCACTTGCCTTCACTTTCGTAAAAGTGACGAAAGTCACGCACGTGATAGGTACCGTGCACTGATCATGCACTTTAATGAAAGTGAAGAAATTGTTCGTCACTTGTCTTCACTTTCGTACATGTGACGAAAGTCACGCACGTGATAGTATCGTAGACTAGTTCTTCACTTTTATAAAAGTGACGTGCAAGTCACTTTCATAAAGTATCATTCACTTTCATGCCGTGAAATGACTCTCGTAATAGTGATTTGACTGTTGTAGGAGTGTCTGTGAAAGTGCGTGTGGCTTTCACTTTCATTGTGGGAGGGAGTGACGTTTACAACAGTCAATATCACTTTTGTAAAAGTGACTATCACTTTTATACCATCTTATGAAAGTGATGGTGGCTGTTATAAGAGTGCTCCTCACTTTCATACGAGTGCTCCTCACCATTGTAAGAGTGACAGTTCACTGTTATAACAGTGAATCCATTTACACGATAATGTGGGAACCCGAAACTTTCTAACCTCAAAATCTGTTTCCTTATCTCAGCAAATTTGGAGCCCCAGTCCGAAACTAAAACTGTGCAATGGAGGAAGAATCTCGCAAAACTTCGAGGTTGGTGATGTGGTTCCTCTGACGATGAAGATGGTGGGGGCAGGCCAGTAGAGTCGTGCATCACATCTTCGATGGCAGAGGCCGAAGTTCGCAGTAGCCTAGAACGGAGAGGTACCAAGAAAAAGTCGCCGCAAATGCACCCTGTCCAGATTCTATATCCGGGCGGGTGCCTGTTGTTGTTGTTGTTGTTGTTGTTGTCTTCACATTAAAAACCGATCCGATCTCTCTCTACCCAGTACCTTCGTATGTCCGTACTGATCCAACACTCGACGCGGTCGATTCCCGTGGTCACAGGTTAACTTACCCCAAAAAGGCACACTCAAATAAACTGGCCCCGAGGGGTCCGCAAGTCAATAGAAATCAACGACAGATAGATAGCCTGTACAGATAGGGCGGGTGAATCGGCTGGTGCGGTATTTATTTCCGGCATGAATTATTTCTGACCTCGAATACATTCTGATGGTCAAGCGTTTGTAGAAGTACAATATCTTCATCAAACCATTGCTTCACGGCACGTGTGCCGTGTCACACAGAAAGGTTCCTCTCCCTGAGCCACCCCCGACCCGCCCTTCCTGTGTACCTTGACGCCGGGATTCGAACCCCTGACCCTTGTTGAATTCCGTACTGATTCCGACCACTATTTAACCGCGCTTCTCCGACGGTCGCTGGCCGCGCACAAACAGCTACTGCAAGCGCACAGAAGCTTGTGCAGCTCGTGGAACCTTGGTGTGCTTTGATCTCCCTGTACGCACTGCTGCTACAGTACAAACCAAAAGGTGTTGTGCTTCTTCGGCTCCTGTAAATTAAATTGTTGTTCCGGGAGGTTGTCAGAGATTTTGTTTTCACCTCTTGTGTCTAATAATGTTTATCTTCACTACACGTGCGAAGCAGCTTGTTGGTGTGTGCCTTTTTTGCTCTTCCGCCACGTGACAGAATCGGAGGCCTCAACAACCTGCAGCACGTTTTGGAAATGGGGCTATGACCTACAGATCCTATGATACAGCAGTAGTAAAGCTATTCCTACATACTATGGGCCTACAGAGTTTAGAGACAGACCTGTAGTCTACGGCTGGCTGCATTACCGTCTACTACACAACAGACACCCTCGAGCGATTTTCAAAGCTCGATTACGCCACGACGAAGAGGATGCATATATAAATGAAACGACGTATTTTCAGAAAGCTCTCGACGAGACGGTTTCAACGCCGCCCTTTTCGGCACCCCCTCTCTTTCTGCTGTTTCAGAAATTGAGCTTTGAAAACCCGTCCAGGGGGTGTGTTATCTCGTGTCATATACGGTACACATCTCAGCAGACCGAGCGGACGGATTGTGTATGTGTGTGAGTCACGAGCGGACCAAGATAATCACACAGTACATCCGCCGAGTGACCAGCAAGCAGCAAGGTATAAAGACACCAACTGAAAGAGGGGGGGCTAAAGACGGGGGGCTCTGCTACGGGTGTGTAGTATGCGACGTGCACGATGAACTATTATTAATACTGATGTAATTTGTCGAGTGTACTTTTTTTTGTTTTTTTTGTACTTGTGTTTTTTTCGCATATTTGTTTCGACGGCGGTCGTCAGCTGAAAATGATGAAGTGGAGACCACCAGCTGGCTCTTTTTTGGTGAAAAGCAAAATTGTTTCCTCTGTCTCTTCGGCAGTAGACAATTAATTGTTTCTTCGGCAGGCGCGGCAGTAGACACAGGAGGATCGGCACGACGCAAACAAAGCAGCCCAGGAAAGCACAGAGGGTCACAGGCAACCACTGCCGGGCTGATGTGAGTTCACAACGATCATTCACAATGTGAGGAAACAGAGTGATGTGAGATGAAGGAATACCTCAAAAGTGTTGCATCACAAACAAGCGTTTCTGCTAAAAAAGGCGCCATTGTGCCTCATCAACGCACAACGTGGACGAGAGTTACATCTTTCAGCTCTCGCTCGAATGACAGCTGGAATATGTTTGTAAATGCTCGCTTGCCCTCCCCGAGCCAGCCACAATGAGCGAGTGATTTGGGCTGAATAGGTAGACTGTGGAAACAACAAGAGTGGCTTCTCTTCGCATATAAATATCTTTAACCGGTATTATTCCAGACGTAATCTCCACGCCCCCGTGATTCCTCGGAAATTACGCGGCGGCTGAGCTGGTCCGCGTGCCTTTCCTTTCTCCTCACGTCCGCGGAAAAACGGAACTTTCCGCGTGCGTCTCGTCCTCGCTGGCCTCCTCTCCAGACAGATCCAGACAGCAGCATCTCTTCGAGGCGGGACCGACATTTTCACGGGTTATCTCACCATCTTCTTCATCACCATGTCGGTCGACGGTGAATGCGGGGAGAACGGCGAGTGGTGGGTCTACCTCGTGTACCTCACAACCCTGGCGCCATGGGGTATCATGCAAGTTCATGACCCCATCGACGAGGCGCGAAGGTCCATCTACGATGTCAGGAACCGCCTCCTGATGGGATCCTTCCTTACTCTGGGGTCGGCGATCGTCGGCTTTACGTACGTAGGGTGGGCGGCCAAAGTCGGAAATAACACGGAGTCAGCGACGATGCTCGTCGGTGTCGCCCTCAACACTTGGCACTGGGTCAGGGTCAGCCGGGGATGGTACTCTTACGTGCTGCTCACTTCCATGCGTGACGTCTGGGAGAAATTCTTCGACAACATGACCGCCGTGGGAAGATTCGAGATCGTGGTCGGGCGAGTTCCGAGGATGGAGGATGTCGCGGTCATCGAGAACGGGGGTCCAAGTACGCCGGTTGAAGGTGGCGCCCCCGCCATCGAGCACCGTGGTTGGCACCCGTCTCTGGAGGAGATGGAGGTGAACGACAGCGTCATCGACAACGACAGCCAGGGTGGGGACAGGGCGCTGTTTGGGGGCAATTACACGCTTGTGCGAGGCGTCATACTCTGGCGTATGGTGTGGCTGCAGGGTGTGGAGCGGCCGTCGCCTTCACCAGGTAAAACTTGCTTGTTTGGTTGGGAACGGGACGGATGGTGTTTGTTGTTGTTGTTTTTCTTCACATTAAACTCGTGTCAGTTGCAAGACTCGGCCCGTGGTCACAAAAATGCTAATAAAGCCATCAGAAGATCTAAAGAACACGCACACTATTAGCAAGAAAAGGGTACACAAGCCCGAGGAGGTACACCTACAATCCCTGCAGCACGTTTGCGTGCTCACAACTGAATGAACTACACGCCCACACACTACAATTCGACTACAGCAGGCGGCATCACCCCCCTAATCCCGCACTTCACCAAAATGAATGTTTGTCGACTACAGCGTAAATAATACCATGGTGTATGGTACACAACAAGCTCGGGGCATGCAGCTGCTGTCTGAAGTGCTGTCAGAATCGGTCCGTGGACATACAATGAAGAAGAACAACCAACTAAAGCCATCATCATTCATTGCACTTGACAATCGCCCGAATCTATCCAGATCAACTGTGTTAGACACAGCAGTGTAAGACACAGCAGTGTAAACATCGACACTGACTAGGAATCGTTCCACATTGAAGGGGTCTTCCACGATGCAGGTACACAATTAAGGCACCCCGGTTATCCGCGCCATCTCTGCCGCGTCTCTCTACAAAACCAGTGACGTCATCACACATACCTAACACCTATATTCAGGAAAAAAACGGAAATAATTGATAACACAAGAAGAGATGTTTGTCCGTGCGACACGGTGCCGCTGCTCCGGTGCCGCTGTGGTAGGCCTCATTTGATGGCAAAACCAGGTTACTGAGACAGTACAGCTCCCTCTAGTAAACATAGGGCCGTGTACATAGTGCCCGTCCACCTTTCTGATGGCGTCTGCCTCCGCGCACAAAGATGAGATGGGCATTGCTGCCTGCACCGACGGCCTCGAGGCCCGCGCATCTGCACCTTTGTACCTGACGCACCAGCGCCGACCCAACTCCACCACTACGCACGCCTCGTGGCGGGTGCGCCGTAGCAAGAAGGTACGTCCCTTGAGGGTGAGTCTAGCCCTGCTCGCTAGAAAGACCCCCCCCTCGCTTTGCGCCCCCCACTCGGTGTTTGCCATCGGGATTGGGTTTTCGTCGCTTGGCAACGACGTTGTAAAACAGGCCAATTCACTTCGTGAACTCGGCAACCAGGTTACCGTTTTTTTTTTTTTTTACCTCGTTTTTTTTTTTTTGGTGGTAACCATAATGGTGGTCGAGTAGATCATGTTGTGCGGGGTCGAGAAACCTCACTCCGCGCAACGGGGGATGATCGCACCACGTTGTGTTAAAATGGTCAAGCTTCCTCGAGGCAGTTACACCGTGCGTACAACTGTCTCTGGAAGTGAAAGCACCAGAAAATAAATTAAGTCATACGCAGCTGTCACCCATACGCAAGGAAGTAAGCACAAGATGCCGAACACCCTTAGCAGGATGCAGCTCACCCTTCATGCGACTCGCCAAATACCTCACGGCGCTTCGCGCTTGGTGATGTGAGAGCCTGGTCCGGTGAGAACCCGGCGTGCTCCGTCCCGGCTTTGTAGGGATGCGAGGTCAATGGTCAAACGACTACGGCATGCACGACTATGAGTACACCCCCCCCTCGCTTTGGGACATGCCTAAGAGCAAAACCTTGCCGAGGCAGCGAGGGGAAGAAGGGAGCAATGGTATGTCCTGCTGTAGGTAAAATGTAAAATGTTGCCTAAAATGTTAGGTACCAGCAGGGAGTAAATGGTCGGCAGAGCAAGGCAGAGAGGGAGCACGAGCAACAAAAAAAGCATGGCAGCGATCCACCAGCCACCTCCTACTCGCGCGCTAGTAGACATTTGGTCACGTTGTCTACTCTGCCCGTCCCACGATGTGGATGGGGTGGGCAATACCCGCTCCCATGCATCAACAAAAACAAGTTTATTAGGTCTACCTCTCCCCATAGATAATTATTTTTTTTTCACATAAATTTTCAAATTTACTTGCTCTATGTCCCGCTGGGCATACCCGCGCCTCTTCCACATCTGCGGCTTCTTCACCGCATGCCTCGATAATGCAGCTGGACTGATCCTAACGCCGAGAGTAAATGACATATGGCTTAAAGCCTTGGGGGTGTTCACTTTGTCCGCTATGTTAACCCTTTCTCCCATCCCTAGTTCGCGCCGCCAGTCCAAAAGTTTTCAAGTTCAAAATTCAGATGAAAATGCACCTTTTTTTTTGCATGTTTTTGCTTTTTTCGTCCAACATCCTCTCTTCAAGGCGTGGGGCGCCCGGCACCAGCCTCAAACCAAATATACTACAAATGAGCGCATTCTGACGTTTCGTGACAACTCGGCTAGCTACTCGTGCAGCGGTGGTATCGTGAAGACATCTCATGCTCGCGATATTCTTTATGCTTTGCTGAAATGTTTTATTTTTTGCTGACAAGTACGTGCGGATATTTTTTCTGGATACAGACAACTTGCCTACCTTGCCGCTGTACGATTCAATCCCGCGCCACAAACCCCAGATTTCCTTCGTTCAATCTTACAATTTGTTACCCTCATGAATCTGGAGTTATTTTTATTTTTGAGTCGCAACGACTTCATCACGTCACCCGAGCTTACCTCACGCCAAATCTTGCCCGGGTTCCTCATCCATACAGCACACACAGACGTAAACCTAGGCAGGCTGTCACACCTCATCTCGCTACCCCACTTTTTTCTTGCCTACCTTGCCACTGTACGATTCAATCCCGCGCCACAAACCCCAGATTTCCTTCGTTCAATGTGTAGATTGAACGAAGGAAAGGTGGTGTTGGTGGCGCGGGATTGAATCGTACAGGGAACTTTCACCGGGGGATTGGATAAGCAACAAGAAGAGTGCTCCTGTGAGACGAAGGGGCGCTTTGCCGTAGAGGTCACCGCGTGTTAGGAAAAGGTCAGGGGTGGGCTTCGGTTAGGTCGGTTAGGTGATTGACCGGAAACCCTCAAAGTAATAAAAAAAGAAAGGTTCATTCATGAGCATCACAAATGGTGCCACGCCAACACGATGTGGATTCTCAAATGCATACATACATACTCCACACGTTGACCCGTGTACTTTCAATGCAGGACACCTGATGCCCAAGCGTATCCCAACGCATTCCCCTACCCCTTCCCAGCATAACAATCAGTCAGATGCAAAGATGGTCACCGAACTGTCTGTTGAGCTTGTCGCCCTCGGGAAACCGTAGACATACAAGGTGCCTCTGGCGGCTTTCGCCGCCTCGCTCATTGGATCGATTCCAAGATACACTGCGATGAAGATGAAAAAAAATGGCTTCGAGCGGAAAAAGAGAGGGTTGCATTACTCGATTCGTGTCACCCGACTATAATCATTGCACCCAAAACCGAGTGCACCAGCAGCAGCATCTTCATGGCAAACCGCCCAATGGGTTGAAAAAGAAGGTCAGGCGCAGCGGAGAAATAATGAACATTCACGTACGTGTAGAGGGGCGGTCGTGGAGAGACGGAGAGAGAGAGAGAGCACAGCACGAGGCGGAAACGAAATAGGGCGGAAGGTCGAGTGGTGAGACAGACAGGATCGGAATAATTACGACCTCCCGGATATATCATGGGTTGAACTATGAGAAGATGTGTTCCGCATGTGAGAGCCGAGAGGGAGAGACATGGCCGGGTTGCGTGTAGAATGTGAGAGCCGAGGGATAGAGGGTAGATATCGATTCCAAGAGAGGCAACTGCTGTAAGCTCAACATTCATTCGTTTTCGTGGGAGGTAAGCAATATGTTGAAACGTCAACAATAATCCTGGCTCGAAAAGGCCCCGGGAACTGCATATTCCTACATATTGTGTGTATACATCACTCACTGTAACCCGGGGAATTTTTCGTGCAATAACCCGATGCGTTATCACCCGGCATGCGGCACGTGCGAGAGCTGACGACCTATATCAGTGCCGAGAGACAGACTACTGGCGCGTGAGCCCAGTGAGAGAGACTGGCATGAAATGTAATGTGTATGCAAGTGTGCAAAGGAAATGGGCGAAAGGTTCCCGAGGGAGCGAGCCATACACAGACGACGCAAACGGAGATAAACGAAGCCCTGGAAAGATCCCGGAGAGATGAAATTTTTCAGGGTGCACCTCGGCACTAGTTTTTTAGGCGGATTCAGGGGGGGAGGTACTTCAATGTGGCGGTACTTTTTTGGCGGTAATTAGGCGGTATTTCGTTTTCCGGCGGTACTGCCTTTGGCGGTTCCCTTTACTGCCAATTATGGCGGTACTTTTCTGGCGGTACCGCAATATGTATGGCGGTTCTTTTTAGGCGGTTCCCGGTACCTGGTTTTTTGGCGGTACTTCTTCGGCGGTACTACTGCAATATGGCGCTACGTTTTAGGCGGTAGGCGGCATTTCGTTATTCGGCGGTACCGCCTTCGGCGGTTCCCGGTACCACCGAATGTGGCGGTAATTACCGCCAGTACCGGGACCGCCCACCACGGCACGAAAAAAACGGCGGGAATTTTCCCGAGGTGTACCCTGGAATTTTTGGATGCATGCATGTTCTGGTTCCACGTAGTTACAGGAGTACATGGAGGGACCGGTCGCCCCGCTTGTCTGGTGGGTACTCTCCCAGCCTGCTGAGTGCGTGGTTGTGGGTTCAAGTCCCGGTAGATGAGTATCTTTTTATCACGAAAAAAATCCTGGTCTAAGGTTGGAAGCGACGCGCTGCAAAGCTCGTTGTTAGTAAACTATAGTTTAGATCGAATTCATAAGTCGCGAGGGAAGGGATTGCTGTACCCTCTCGCGATAAAAATATCTCAGGCAGGAACCGCAGGAGGGGGTCCAACCCCCCCTCCCCTCCTATGTGACTCCGGTTGGGTCGTCTAGCTAGTAGAAGTGGAGGATAGGGGCCAGAGCGGCAGACGACAGAGTCCAATGATGGGAGAAAAAAAAAATTACGGCACGGCTAAACACCCCACCGGTGGGGTAATTTCTTAACCGTCTAGGGTAAAGGTTGTCCTAGCGGCTTCTGCAGGTGGAAGAGGGTGAGACACCTCATTTTTCGTATCATTGATGTGGTTCGCTTCGCTGCGTGATCTAAAGCAAACAAACCTGCTGGGTCGACCATGTACTCCTCACTCGCCTACCTCTCGACACTCCAGTTGCATGCACACATGCATGAAGCCCACAATGACCGACTCCTTTTCACACATCACCCATTTGAGCTTACAAACAAGGCATGACACCATATATCAGGCCAGCTCTTTCTCAGTGTTCTTCACCCTTCACTGCTCGCACAAACACGTCGTGATGGTTCCCTGGCCGACATCGTCTGTGATGTCCGCTACGGTATACGTCCGAATTGCATATCGTTGTGTGAGCCGGGTGTTTGTGGGCAGCGAACCCTGAACACAGGACGGGCAACCTATCTATGTTCAAATGGCTTTCTGACGCTGGCGGGTTGAGGTTTACGAGAAATTCACTCGCTGCTGGTCGACTGAATTCCGGATGAATTCCTTCCTTTCTTCCTACAGCAGTACTGCTGTACAATCGTTGCTATCCCCAAAGTACGTACATGAAAAAGTTCATGTATCGACTATTATTGCCGCACCGATTGGAGGATTGATTGGTAACGCGCGTGTTGGTTGTATGGGACGAAATTTGTTTTGAACACAAAGTTTGCATACCACGAAATGAAATGGTCGAGAGGCCGCGAACTACAGGAGGAGTCGCCAAGATGAATCTCACGGCTTTTTTTTCGGGTTCGAAAAAAAAGTGTTTTTGGCACTTTTCAGGAGAACGCGCGGTTCGAATTATTCTCCGTTTTTTGCAGCAGAGTGGCAGCGCGTGAACGAAAGTGGGTTTGCTCTGTTTTTGATGGAAACAAATTATATGATGAGTTAGAGCCACTGAACAGAGTTGCCAAAATGTCGATTGGTGCTTTACCACCACCAGGAAATAGTTTTTGGATATCCTTTTATGGATAGAAATATGGCCGTGTACACCCTGATCAAAACAATACTTACTTTCCGTTTGGAATTTCATCAATTCCTCCATGCGCTGATACAGTTTTAGTGTACTCGTGGAGAGCTTCCATATTATACCAGGTTTAGTGTGTGAGCATGCTTACTTGATAGCGTCGAGCATAGCTGCACAGCACGCGTCGGCCGTTCTCGCAGACCCACCGGGGGCGGGGGGGGGCGATGCTTCACCCTACACTATAAATAGTTCCACGTACCAACAGTCAGAACCAAACACAGAACAAAAGAACTCATAATAGACACACACGAAGCAGTCACAGTTGGAAGCGACCATACCGACACGGTTACCATCATCACATAGAGAATGTTATGCCCAGTTACCCCACTCTCCGTGCGTGACTTCCGAAAACGTAAATTTCTTGATATGTGGCCTTGACCTTTACTTTATGGTATCACCTCAGGTGTTCGCCTCTTTCCTTTCTGTAGGTCACATAAATGCGTACGGACTCGTTTCCATTATTTTTCTGCGAAACGGGGGGATCTGCATGTTATCTGTTTTTTGCCATGCTATTTTTTTATCACAGTAGTGCTCATCTTTGTCTGCCAGA